CATAAGGTTCAGGAATTGGCCATTCTACATCTTTTTGCTGACATTTTGAGGTGGTCCAGGTTTTAACAATCCTGCTGCTTTGTATTTTAAACCATGGGACCCATGGATTCAGAGAACAGCAGTCTAATTGTCCATGTTAGGCAATTCTGATTTAATTAAACATTATAAAAACTAATTCAGGACATGTCTAGAAGAGATGCATCAATTCTACATAATGCACATTCCATATACTCTAAAAGGGATGAAGTGGCAGCTTTCAGCAAGCCTCCTGAGGACGCTAGATATAGACAAAACTTAAGTAACCAAATGAAACTGGGAAGGAGAATGCAAAATTTGGAACGTTTCTCCAAATATTGCAGGACTATGTTGGATTGTTTTGGTAGGAATTATTCAGCAACATCTGGATCCCTTCCCAGCTATACTTTTTTTTCTGGGCAACCTTTGATCAACCACCTCCTGTTTATCTAAACTACTTCAGGAGATGAAAGGAAAGAGGAAAACTGAAACCAGTATTATCATCTTGAACTCCTAAAAGGAAATCATGAAATAATTAGCAAGTTTAACAGCAAGATTCAATAAAATTATCTACTCAAAATGATGAAAAGTAGGGGATTATATAGTCACCTAGTCCATTCCACTCACTAACCCAAATATAGGCTATAAGAAGCAGCTATTTGTTGCGGCCTTGAGCCTTTTCAGCAAAGTGTCTTGGGGCATAGGGGAGCCTTTCTCAATCAACCTGCTCTACTGGATCACCATCTTTGTAAATAAGATCCCTAAACAGCACTGCATAGTTGTTCCTAGCTCCAAGTTCCCATCACGGCTCAGAATGATGGTAGATTGGGGCATTGTGGGAAATAAACCTAATTAGGTAGAGAAGTTAGAGAAAACAAAAAATCGTTATAGTTGCCCGAAAGGACTGCCCCAAAATGTTCTCACTTCATCAGAATGGAATATTTATATGTATCTAAGTTATTGTGTCAACCATGATTTCCCCCCTTTTAAACTGAACCTGAAGAGAGAGGCTAATTCTTTCTTTTTTTTTCATAAGCTATTTTAGGAGTCTTTGGACTGAAAACCAAGGTTAGATGGCTTATATAAGACTACATAGACTGCAAATGATGTAACTCTTCCTTAGAGTCCAAGAGTAGAATACAAAAGCTAGCCAAATTGTTTTGCCATATGAGGTAGAAAATTTTATGAACACCTCACCCAATCTCTAACTCAATAGTATATAAACTCCAAAATTCCCTGTACCAAATGATTAAATAGGTAAATTACCCTAATTCAATTGGCATTTAAATATTATAGCTAGTAATAAAGAGGTTACAGAACTAATATGTTTCCCCAAAGCTCAGGTTCTTATCCAGAAATTAAAGACTTAAATTCCTGCAAAATTTCAAAACAGAATTTTGATTGAGGATGTAGGCTGTTTGCATTTGGATTTTATCTGTTACCCTACTACTTTGCAGCTGCTTCAACCTGAAATGGCTGGACTGATTAGGAATTTGAAATTTAGCCCAACTACTCTAGAAGGTACCAGATTGGGAAGGTTATTCTAAAGTTAAATTGCTAATTAACATGATCTGATTAAGTGAATTAAGGTTCACTAAACCTAGGAAAACCAACAGCACCCCCTTCTGGCCAAAGTAGGGCTCCATGAGCTGGAATAATTTTACTATGTAGTCTCACTTCAACTAATTAAGAAACATTTCCCATTCCAGATTTTCCATGCTGTCACCTGGCCTCCATAGAAATACAAAATTCTGGCAAAGAAACAGTGATTAGTGATTACTATTGAAGCCTGTTCTCTATTAGCCTCGATCCATCTACTATTAATATTCTGCTTGAAAAGATGCTACGATTTATAAAATTACTTCCCACCGACTATAGCTGCAAATAGCTCACTTAATTAACATGATATCTATAGTAAAGGAGTTTTAAAATAATGCTTCCTACATGTCTGTAGTCTGAAAAAAATATAGAAAATGATAATAATATTGTAATTCACATTGTGCCACGTTTTGTTGTATAAATTATAGCTGTCTGGGTTCATACTTTGCCCTTAGAGTGTACATCATCATAGAGTTAAGGTATGTTCCAGTCATTACATAGGAACCACCATAATTTTCTTGGCGACTTGTTTCTGGAATTTTGTTTTTAAGACTGTGCAATGTTTTAGCTTCAAGATCAGAAATGAAATAACTTCATGTTTTGGAGTATTCAAAAGCACATTTTGCAGATTTGAACATTCCCAGTGTAACTTAAGACAAGGTTTACCAACCTTGGCAACTTTAAGACTGCTGGGCTTGGGGAACTCTGGGAATTAAAGTCCATGCATTTTAAAACTGCCAAGGTTGGGAAACTGGCTTACAGCCTTGGTATTCATTCTCTAATCTAGTGCAACCCCATTGAGGGATTCACCAGACTTGGATGGTCTTAAATTTAATAGATTCCTTCTTCCAACTCTGTATTTTAGCTCTTTTTTATAGATATTATATTGGATTCAGATCAGGACTTATAACAGGCCACCTCAGAAAAATCCAATGTTTGCTTTTTAACCATTTTTGAGGTTCTTAGATGTGCACTTTGGGTCATTTTACCTCCTGGAGGACCCAGGATCTGTGGCTGAGACAGAACTTTCTAACATTATATTGTTTGGCTCTGGAATATCTTGATAATCTTGATTTCAATGCCCAGCAGATTCAAAACATCTGACACTGGAGACAGAAAAGCAACCCCATAACATTTATTATGGACCTTCCTTCATGTTTTACTTTTCTTTAAAAATATCACTTGTTTTGTGAGCCTGGATCTGTTGTGACTTACCGAAAAGTTCTAATTGTGTTTCATCTCTCCAAAGAATATTCTCCTAGGATTGTGGCTTCTCAAAGTGGCATTTTAGCAAACCCCAATCTGTTTTTTGTTTTGTTTTTGTCTGCCTGTCAAAAATGGGGTCTTCTATCATGGATACCACTTTCAGATATCAGTGGATGGTGCAACTTGATATTATTGTACTTGATTGTGGGGGGTCACCCAGGATCTTTGAATTTTTCCTTGGTTTTCTCCACCATTCAAACGATCCTTCTGTTTAACCTGGAGTCGATTTTCCTCTTGCAGCCATATTCAGGGAGGTTGGCTACAATCCCAGAGACTTTAAATATCTTGATGTTAATAATCATGGTCACAGGAGCACATAGCCCTTTGGAGACGAGTTTGCAACCTTTGCCGTTACCATAAAATGGCTTCTCAGTCATGTACTAGGATTGTCTGGAAATTAAGTCATGGCAACTAAACTTATTTTCTTGTTTTTCGAGATGTTTCGCTGCCTATCCAGGCAGCTTCTTAGTTAGGGGAATCTGAGTAGGCAGAGTCGTTGGAATGTACCAACTCCTAAAATTCTTAGGGCTACTCCTGTACCAACCTCAGATTTCTTCACCAAGGTGTGTTGTGGCAATATGCCGATGATGATTCTGTGTCATTCAGGTAGAATTGCCATGCACTTTAAGGAAGAAGCCATAAGGGTAAAATTCTACCTGAATGACTGAGAATCTTTATTGACATATTGCCATGCACTTTGGGGGGGGAAAAATCTGAGTTTAGTGCAGGAGTAGCCCTAAACATTTTAGGAGTTGGTACATTCCAACAACTCTCTGCCTACTCAGATTTCCCCTCAGCTCATACAGAAGAAGCGGTTTGGATGGCAAAACATCTCAAACTAAACAAAGAAAAATAAATACAGTTGCCACAGCTCAACTTCCCGACTAAGCCACAATGCTATTTATTATTTTAATTTGGCATATTGTGTGAATAAAGCCACTTCCTACTCCCTCATTTTTATTTGTATTTTTTTTAAGGAGGGACATATTTCAGGAGTAGGCAGTACCTTTTCAGATGTACCCTATTTCTTTATTCAGTCCCTGCAGATTGAGAAATGTCAATGAAAACCACTTTAGAACTGTTACTGAGAAAATCAGAGAAATCTCCATTTAAGCAATCAGCAAACAAATTTTTTTAATTTTTTTTTAACTTCTCAGAGGCTGGTGGGAGGAACTGCTGACTGACTGTGAGTGCAGGAGACTGAGAGGTAGTACAGAGGACAAAGGTAGCGACCCACACACCTAACGGTGAACAAATCATATAACTATAAACCAAAAATAGCAATATTACTTCAGGGTTAGGACACTTGAGATTGTGATTTTATTTCAAAATGACTGGCTTAGTTCAGTGCAATACTTGTTTTGCAGCTGTATACCGCAGTACTCTTCAAATTTGGGTACTGTCTTCTTTGTAAACAAATTACTACATGGACAGAATCTCCAAGATGTGCTCTCCGAGCAGAAATTAGGTGACCAATTCAGCCATTCCACTCTATCGAGTTGCTGCACTATCAGCCCCTTCTACCACAAAGATCCTGCAGGAAAAGGGCAGGATGTCCCATGGACAACCGTCGCATCTGGCAAGATGAAAGCTGTGAACTACAAACACAAAGCTTTTGTTGTGTCCCAGCATAACAGATACAGTGCCCCTACCTTAACAGGAACACTAAAGTGACAATCAAGGTAGTTGTGGATAATGATAACTCAAATAAGCAGTAATGAAGAACTTGCTTTGGAAAGGGGAAAGTGTGAATCAGGTATTACACATCAGTCACACAAGAAGAGCAAGGTATCCAAAAGAGAAGCCACCTTCTGATTGGTGATCAATTGTATGGGATATAAATTCAGAAAAAGATATGGAGGTTTTGAAAAAGTTCAGATGTCTGCCAGGTGCTGCTGCCAGAAGAAACAAAAGGCATATTCTTAAGATAGCCAAAAATGTCAGTAAGGACTGTGATGTTTATGCTATTATACATCTTGGCGCAAATGATCTGTCCCAAAGCAGAATGATTTCCAGAACTTGGTGTATGAACTTACAATACAATACAATAGCAGAGTTGGAAGGGACCTTGGAGGTCTTCTAGTCCAACCCCCTGCCTAGTCAGGAAACCCTATACCGTTTCAGACNGTGTTCTCTTTGTCTGGCATCTCCAGTGGAGTTGTTGTCCGCACATCCATTACACAGGAACAAGCAATGCTGACCCGTGGCTTTGTTGCCTGATGGTTGGGGTAGAAAAAAAAGACTGTCAATGCTTAAATTAGGAATCCCTAGTTTTTTACTTTTCCCCAGGACTTTTCTCTTGCCTGAACACAATGACTCATTGCTCACCTTTGGTGGTATGTAGAACTCCAACAGGTAACCCTCCCCTTCTCCCTTCCCTGCTTTGCGCAGGAGAAGACGGCATTTCTGCCAGCGTGTCCTACTGCCCCCGCCTGACCCATCATCAGCCACAATGTAGTTCAGTAGGCCTTCACGGCGCACACCAGCCAGTTCGACTCGGAGAGTGACTGGGGAGGCTTTGTTGAGCCGAAGACGTTCAAATCGGTGAGTCCAACGGTCTGAGTCACCACCACCCGAAGAATTAGAATTACTGTTGGCTCCAGTGGGTGTCCCATCTCTGCCACCAGAGGATGATTCAGCTGAGGTCTTCCACTGAAGAATGCCACGTACGCTACCTCGGACACTGAGGCTAACACTGCGCAAAGAAAAGCGCTTCTTCAGCTTTGGCTTCGTAGCGGTAATGGCTGCCACAGCAGAAACATCTTCAGAACTGCAGGACTGGCTGCTAGAGAGGCCAGAGGGTGGGCCCAATGGAGGCTCAACAGGGGAAGCCACCAAGGAGTCACTGCAGGTTTCAGAGAGGTCCTGTGCAGAAGAACCACCAGTGAAAGGGGCAATGTCACAGCAAGGTGGCGAGTCACTGGTGTAAGCCCGGCTCACCTCAGCCTCAAAATGTTCTAGGAAGTGCTCTGCAAAGCGGTGTGAGAAAGCAGCTTCGGCTCCTGGGGTGGCAAACTGAGGGTTCTCACCAAGGAAGGTCTGGAAACGACGGGCAAAATCAACTGCAACAGCACGAGCGTGGACTTCGCAGAATTCCTGCCAACCCAAGGAGGGGAGAGAGGAGGGTTCCCCCACCATTCCTCCTCCAACTGGTGACAATGGCACTGCGCTTCCGTTCATGATCACCCAGGTGGGACTAGGTAACAATACATCCAGTGCCAGGATTNAAGTATTAATACCACTTTATAATGCCTTGGTAATGCCACACTTGGAATACTGCATCCAATTTCAGTCACCACAAAGTAAAAAAGATGTGGAGACTCTAGAAAGAATGCAGAAAAGAGCAACGAAGATGATTAGGGGACTGGAGGCTAAAACATATGAAGAACGGTTGCAGGAACTGAATATGTCTAGTTAATGAAAAGAAGGACCAGGGGGTGATAGCAATGTTCCAATATCTCAAGGGTTGCCACAAAGAAGAGGGAGTCAAACTATTCTCCAAAGCACCTAAGGTTAGGACAAGAAACAATGGGTAGAAAAGAAACAACTTAAAACTGAGAAATTTTCTGACCATTAGAACAATTAATCAGTGGAACAACTTGCCTCCAGAAGTTGTTAATGTTCCAACACTGGAAGTTTTAAAAATGTTGAATAACCATTTGTCTGAAGTGGTGTAGGGTTTCCTGCCTAAGCAGGGAGTTGGACTAGAAGACCTCCAAGGTCCCTTCCAACTCTGTTATTCTATAAAATGAGACTAGGCTTATATGTGAAGCCTGATTATTATCAAGTATTGTACGGGTAATCCTTGCTTAGTGATCATTCATTCGGCGACTGTACAAACATACTGTACAAGGATGCTTGAAAAATAATTTTATAGCTCATTTACAACTGTTTATGACTTATGCCGTATCTCTCAGTCAAATAATCACCATTAGAGTCAAAAAGAATCGTTTTGTTCTTACAGATTTCCCCCCCTTGCAGAACTGAGAAATTGGAGAGGGGTTTCAAGAGAGTAAGCTGTTTGCTCTTCTACGGATCGAAAGCAATGTGATAATATCTCTTTTGTCTGACCTTTTCTCCCACCTCCGAAGGGGAGATTGGGGAGGAAAAGATTTCAAAAAGGAAATATCAGTTTGTTCTTCTACATATTGATAGCCCAGCAACAGGAAAGGGTCAGGCAAAGGAAAAACTGCCTACGGAAATCACTTGCTTTTTTTTCTTTTCACCTTCCATCAGAGCAGAGACTGGAAACAAATTTCAAGAGAGCACTGTAAGTTGCTTGCACAAAACATCTTCAGCATTCAAATCCTGGACTATGACACAATCACATTACTTTAATGACAATAAGATAGCACTCCAGCATTTGGGGAGCAGTTAGGAGGCAAACAAAACAAACCCCAAAACCAAACCAAAGATGTGCAACTGATTCGTCTTGACCCTTTATGGCCGAAAAGCAATTGTAGTGATGTCACTTTGTGGTCACCTTACTTAGGGATCACTCTGTTTAGTGGCAGAGTTGCTGTCCCCAATTAGGTCTTTAAGTGGCTACTGTAAATGTAAAGTAACATCTTCACCTGATTCCATATTTGCCAATCAAGGCAGGAAAATTAGTTCAAAAGGACACCTGACAAATATTCATTTACCCCAAAATAAACAAGCCCCCCCGCCTTTCAGTTTTTATTAATTTTACTTAATATATTTATTTTCTTTAAAAAGTTCACTTTAAAAAGGTAAAATGATGTTTCCTTTATTTTTTTATACAAACTCCCCCCATAAACAAAACACAGAACTGTATCCCGGAATAATTAAAAAAGGGAGAGAAAAAAATTGAAAAGGCCTGAGCAGTCCAACTAGTCCACAGTAGAAAAATAAATCTTAAAAGGAGGAGAAGGAGGGGAGCAGTGGGAATAAGGGGAAGAGCCTTCCCAAAAGTGTATTTCATAGCATGATGCAATTCCATGGGGTGTAGTGACCAGTTCCCATGATTTTTTTTTGGGGGGGGGGGGGAGATAGCAGAAAAAAAAAGAGTATAAATATATATTCAAATTGCGGGGAAAAGCAGCCAACTTTCCCCCACAAGAGGAAACTTCAAGGGGAAAGGATTACATTCAGAAACTCCATACATTCACCAAGAAAGGCAGGGGTACAANGTGTGTTCTCCAACACAACTCTCACAATGCTTCGCTAAACATACTCGCTCTCCCAACATGGAGCTTACCTAACAGTGTAAAAGGGAAAGCTTTGGTTTTATTGATGATGACTGTAGCTGGTCCAATGAAAAACTGTACAAAAGAGATGGTTTGCATCCATCAAAGAAAGGGCCTGAGTTACTTAGCATTAAATTCACAGATTTTTGGATGAACATTTAAACTGAACAGCGGGGACAGAGAATTAATTGATACAGAACATTTCTGCCCCTAGCAATCTAAAATTAATAGGGTTATCAGTGCAGGTAACCTAAATGTTTGCGCGGGTAAGATTATCAATCTTACTGTCAAGCAAAACCAAGCATTTAATAGTGCAGGGGTCCCCAAACCTGGCAACTTTAAGACTCCAGAGCTGGCTGGAGAATTCTGGGAGTTGAAGTCCACAAATCTTAAAGTCTGAAGATCTCTGTAATAGTGAGCCATATCATGTGCACTAATCAAACAGGTGGCAAAAAAATACGGGCAGTCAGGCACAACACAGGTTATGTAGACAGTAAACGCAGGGTCAATCAAATTGGACTCAAATGTCTATACACCAATGCACAGAATATGAGGAATAAACAGGGAGAATTAGATTAGAAATTCAAGTAAATGAGGGCATATATGATATTGTTGCCATTACAAAAACTTGGTGGGATGAAACTCACAAAAGAAACATACAGCTAGAGAGGTTTAAATTATTTAAAAGAAATATACCAAATAAAAGAGGTGGAGTTGCACTTTATATAAGAAATAATTACATCTCTACAGAAATAGAGCACAACAATGATAAAAATTATCTTGAATGCATTTCGGTCAATATTAAAAGGGGAAAATGACATTGTCATAGGTCTCTAATATAGGCCACCAAATAGAGGAAATAGATGAACTTTTTTTACTAGTCAACTAACTAAGATATGTAGGAAGCACATCACAATAGTAATGGGGGATTTTAACTACTCTGACATCAACTGGGAGACAAACTCTGTACCAAGTGGAAGATCCAGCAGGTTCCTAACAAACATAGCGGACAACTTTGTTTCCCAAAAAAGAGAAGGGAACAAGGGGATCAGCCATATTGGACTTAATTCTCACTAACAGAGATGAAATGATAGAAGGTGTTGAAGCTATAGGAACCTTGGAGGCAAGTGATCATGCAATATTAGAATTCAACATTATGTAAGCACAAGCATAGAACAAAGTCAAACTAAAGTCTTGGACTTTAAGAGAGCTAATTTCAATAAATTTAGAGAGAGCTTGGGAAGGATTCCATGGATGAGAATCCTTAAGGGAAAACAACTCAAGAAGCTTGGGAAATTTTGAAAATTATAAAAGCCCAGTCTAGCATAATACTAATGAAGAAGAAAAATAACAGCTTTCAAAAGAAACCAGCATGGCTGCATAAAGAACTTTCTTTAGGACAAGTATAAAAAGTGGAAAGAAGGGCAAATAACTAAGGCAGAAAATAAGTAAAAAATAACAAAAAAGCTTCTTCCAACATGTTAAAAAAAATCAAGGAAACATTTGGTCCGTTGCTGGGAGAAAGTGGCAAGGTGACAAGCAACAATGAGAAAGCAGAACTATTTAACTTGTATTTTTCATCTGTCCTTACATAAAGAGAAAAACAGTCCAACTTATCAAAAACAGCACCACAAAAAACAGCTTAGGAACACAAATTAAAATAGGGAAGAAAATGGTAAGTGAAACCTGTCTACCCTAGACAAGTTCAGATCACCAGGACCGGATGGATTATACCCCAAGGTTTTGAAGGAACTGGCAGGCGAGAACCACTGAACTATATCTTTCAAAGACCCTGGAACACGGGGAGCTGCAAGAGGACTGGAAAAGAGTTGACATACTTCCCATCTTCAAAAAAGGCAACACAGTTCTAGGCTGCATAAACAAAGGAATAGAATCAAGATCACATGAAGTATTAATACCACTTTATAATGCCTTGGTAATGCCACACTTGGAATACTGCATCCAATTTCAGTCACCACAAAG